GTGTGTGTGTGTGTGTGTGTGTGTGTGTGTGTGTGTGTGTGTGTGTGCGTATGAGGAGACCCAGGTGGGAAGTGACTGAGTTCTGGAGGCTGACTCATGTGAAAGCTCTCTGTGCCCAGCATAAAAGCAGCAGATAACTTTGCCTGTTATCTGGGCCACCCCCTAACCAGCACCACGTGCGAAGTCACATGTCCCACAGAACCGTCACTGCTTCAAAGAACCGTTCTGCTGAGCCTCAGGTCCTGCTCGTCCATCAGGGTGTGTGTTTGTGTGACTAATAAAAACAGACAAGAATGTGATTTACCTTTAAATCCTAATGCTGTCATTGTCATTTAATCAATATAGTTATCACTCGACAACATTACCATTATCCATCCAATATATTATTTTGTAAATTGAAATTGTTGAAATTTTTTGATTTGGTTGATTATATATAACATCTTTTTAGTTATGTATAAGGCTCACAAAAACAAATTACCTTTAAACATTCAGGTAAACTTTATTAAGAGAGAGAGAGAGAGAGCTGTTATAACATAAAGGAAACAAAGATGTTCATGAAACATAACATGTCTGAAAGAATGGTGCACCTTAATCCAAGGAGTCAGATTGTGGAATAATCTGGAAGAGGATGTTAAAAATGCTAGATCAATGTACATGTTCAAGAAAATTATAAAAGTGGGGCTTTTGAGGAAATATGAAGCAGTATAATATATATTCATGTAAATTTGTGTTCTAGAACAGTGGTTCCCAAACTTTTCAGCTTTTGACCCACAAAATAACAGTAGCAGAGACCTGTGCCCCCAACTATTTTTGGATGATAAACATTTTTATCAGGTCAACAAAACATGGGCATAGTAGCAATATTTTTATACTACATTTATTCATTTTAAATACACTAACTTCACTCCTTTGTAACAACTAAGGCAAAAATGTAATTAATTCTGAAAATCTTTTCAGGACCCCACCTTGATTTTTTGGGACCCTATTTTGGGTCCAGACCCCAACTTTGGGAAACAGTGATCTAGAAGGATTTGATTTCTGTCTTGTTTCGGGTTTTTTTTTTACATTAACTGAAGATTAGTATTGTTTGAGTTTATATTTGAGGAAAAAATGGGCAGATATGAGATTTTTTTCTTCTCTGCTTCCTTTCATTTCATTGTATTTGTGTGTTTTTTCCTTTTTATATTTGTACATAGAATATTTTGTTTTAAAGAAATGAATAAAGTTTTAAATAAATAGATAAATAATAAAGAAAATTAGGTCAAAACTGTTTTTAAATTAAAGTATATTCTGGACGTTTCAATGAAATGTTTACAGTGAGAAATTTCGCTAACAAATGAACAGGTCTAACTCCTCATGTTAATGTCAACATTTTAAGTAATGTTTTGATGAGTCAAATGAGTCAGTCACTGCAAAATCCTCATTTTTTTCTTTGCAAATTGATAAAACCTTTGTTTTTACAGAGCTCCTCACTGATCATCAGTTAATCCTTTCAGCAGCTTTGAGACAACTGATTATTAAACTTAGACTTCATCAATCAGGGCTCAAGCTTGGTTTACAAACTAAGTAACAGAAGTCAGTGAATACAACAGTCTGTGTTCTGAATCTGTTACTGTTCATAAGGGAGTGCCACAGGGCTCTGTGTTAGAGCCTCTCTTCATCGTCATCTATGTTAAAGATAAGGACATGTAACTTTAACGTGTTGCTTTGGTTAGTTGAAAGGAAAAGCTTTCGATTTACTGGTCTGTCTTCATTCCATCCCTCACCTGTGGTCTAAGGTTTGAATCATGATGGAAAGAAGAACAAAATCCTGGACACAAGTAGATGAAACAAGCGTCCTTCGTAGGGGGTCCAGGCTCAGCCTAGAGACAGGATGAGGAGCTCAGAGTAGAGCCATTGCTCCTCCACATCGAAAGGAATTAGTTGAGGTGGTACATCTGATTAGGATGCCTCCTGGACACCTCCCACGTCCCACTGGTAGGAGACCCCAGGGCAGAACCAGGGCTTGCTGGAGGGATTATGTATCCTCTCTGGCCTGGGAACCTCAGGGTTCCCCATGACGAGCTGGAAAGTGTCACTGGGGAGAGGGATGTCTGGGTTTCTCTCCTGGACCTGTTGCCGCCGCGACTTATACAGACAGAAGATGGAGATGAAGATTATATGGGATTACATGTGTCTGATGATACTACTGTTTGCAGTGGTTCTCAATCCTGGTCCTCGAGAACCATTATCCTGCAGGTTTTAGTTGTTTCCCTGCTCTTCAGCAGGTCTGACAATCACTCATTCATTTAAATAAGGTGTGTCAAGATCAGCATTTAGACAAAACTTAATCTGACTATTAATAGATTAAACTTGCATGTTTTTGATTGTACAGTACATCGGTTACCCTGTCTAAAATTATACTTTCAAATCATCAGTCAAACTAACGTCTTCCTGTTAACGGTCATGCCAGGCGGTCTGTTCTTCCAGCTCTTACTTTGCTTCTTGTAAGGGACAGATTAACAGAGAGCATCATGGATTCTCTGGTGAGTAGATTTGTCTCCACCRTTCTCTGGAGGATAATCTGTTGTGGTGTTTCAGGTGATTAAACAAGTTTGTGGTTTTTGTTTATTTTTTAGCATCCCCATTAATTTCTGCCTCAGCAGAGACTTTTCCTGGGGTCCAAACGACTCCTCCTGCCCGATTTTAAGCAGCTTCTGTTAGTTTTTTAAAAAATGTTTGGTTTTATTAGGACCGAGCCTGAGCTGTTATCATCTGTTCCTGACTGAGCCACTTTATCTGTGTGGCCAGCGTTGCACTTTTTCCCGGGTCATAAAACAATTACTGACACACAGGTGGACGTGATAAGGATGGACATGCGTTGCTTAGAAGTTGGAACAAGTCGCTGTTTGGTTCCACAGTCCAGCATCAGTGGGCGTCGCAGGAGTGGGACAGGAGGTTACATAAGGAGCTACCGGGCCAGAACCTGGGCTTTGTGTCTCTGGTCTGGACGAGAGTGGCCCATCTCTGTTTTTTGTTTTGCTGGAAGGATTTGTTTGAAGACCTTGTGAACCCAGAGTTGACACACACACAGCAGCTATGGCAGGTGAGTTCTGGGCCTTACTGTACTTTCAGCGGTTCTTGTTCCAGGAATAGACAATACTCCAAGGTTTTTCATTATTATTATTACATTTAGTTTCAGTCTTTCAGTCTTGACTCTTCTTCTGCAGGCATTGACGAAGCGATGAAACCCAAAAGAAGAAGCGTAAGTTTGAAAAGTTGCCGTGAGTGAAATGTGTCCAGAAATAGATTTTCGATGGTTTTAAGTTGGTTTTTATCTGAATTTTTCTCTSAAACAGGCTACTGTCTGCGGCTACCCAATAAGCATCTTCTTTATTGTGGTGAATGAGTTCTGTGAGCGTTTCTCCTAYTATGGCATGAGAGGTGAGTGTCTTTGTTCTGTCTGATGTCCACGTGGTGCTGTGTTGTCAAATGTGCTTTAAATGTTAAATGGGTATTTAGACTCAACCCCCAAAGTACCTGACCAATGAACACGTGCCTTTTTTTCATCCTTTATTTATTCAGGAAAATCTCTTGAGACTCATTGTCTCATTTACAAGAGAGACCTGTTACATTCACCACAACAAATTTAACACTTCTAAAAATCAATACCATACATCATCAAAGGAAGAGTTTTCATTGACAACAAGTACAGGTGCCTACGGACAAATTTTTTATGCTTCTGCTATCCCTCTGCCTGGATCAAAAAGAAAAAATTGTRTAGGTCTTCTGGACGGGTTCTTCTCTAATGAAACGTTTCGTCTCTCCTCCAAGAGACTTCTTCAGTCTGAGAGTTTCAGGCAAAATTCAGGCTTTTAAGCACTGCCTCCATGTGACTGATACTCACATCACATGGCTATCGTTGACACCTAATTATCACCTATTGTTAACGGGGGTGGAGTGATACTGGCAATAGCAGCACTGTARGAGGGGGACAACTGAAAACGGAGGCCTCCACCTCTGTTTAATGATGGACGGTCTTTCTTCACAAAAATGGCTTCTTTTACTCCTCTCTCAAACCAACGTTCCTCTCTATCAAGAATGAGATTAGTGAGATTTGACTCATTTTGGCAAGATTGGTAGAGTTCATTAAAATAGGTGGGTTTTCTGGAAACAACCTCTAAATATGAATCATTTTAARAAAGAGTTTGAGACTGAAACAGTCTGATTTGTCTGATCAGAGAGCAGCTTCAACGTGTGTTTAGCAATAGTGGGTAAAGCTAACTGCCAATCTGCAGGCTCAAAAATTAGATTTTAAAAATTAGATCATAAAATTAGCAGAAGCTAATGCTAACTGATAACTCAGATGTGTGTAATTTATTCATAGGTTTGTGGTATCCACAGAAACATCAGAATCTTGACTAAAAGCTCCTGAAAAAACATTTCTACATTCACCAAACTAATTTAAAACCACAACCAGTTGAATCAGGAATTAAACAAATTTCACAAATTAAAAAAAACTGTTTGTTAGTGGACATTAAGTTAGCAGAAGAAATTTTTGCGAGAGCTAATCAATTCAGTAACATTTTCAAAACTTAAAATATTAGCTTTGCAAATGCTAAATCACTAAACAGGTGTAAAAATTAGAGGACGCTAATGCTAACTGATAATTCAAGATTTGTCATTCGAACGTAGATGTGTGGTATCCACAGAAACATCAGAATTTCAGCTAAGATCTCATAAAAAACATTTCYACATCCACCAAACAATAAAAACACAAGCAGTTGAATCATCAAGTGAACAACCTGCACCAAGTGATGAAAACAGTTTAACAAACATAAAGTAAGCAGAACTGAAATTAGCGGGAGCTTTTTGGTACACCCAGCTAAATCCAGTTTTCAACCTTCTAACTGTTGGTTTGAAGAGTTTAAAAGTTGTCCTCTTTATTCATTGTTACATTTAATTTGAGAAATGCACCACCACCATCAAACCTGAAGGTGTCTGTTTTGGACCTGGAGCTTTTCTTGCTTTGTATCCTGTCAGCCTTTGGTCACGTAAAACTGTGTTCCGGCAGTTTCCAGTTCGTGGCAGSTTTGAGCCTTGGTGGTTCCTGAACATCTCAACCAATCAAACCAATAATGTCAAACAAATGATATGTTGAAAAAARTGCAAAATGTTGAGCAAAAGTTTTTTGTTGTTGTGATTTTTCTGAATTTGTGTCCCTTGCTGGTTTCCCTCTGCAGCCGTGCTGGTGTTGTACTTCAAGTACTTCCTGCAGTGGGACGACGACTTCGCCACCACCATCTACCACACCTTCGTGGCTCTCTGCTACCTGACTCCTATCCTCGGGGCCATTATCGCTGACTCATGGCTCGGAAAGTTCAAGTTAGTCTCAAAATAAACCAAAACAACTTTCTGTTTAAGGAAACACGACTATTAATCTTTATTAGGTTATTATCAAATACACGTTTACACCAGCTGTACATGTTGCATAGGTAAAAATKAGCTTTAAACAGGAAGTGATTTTGTTTTTCTTGCCATATTGGCTTAGTTAAAGCAGTCAAATATTCACATGCAAGACTTTTAAAGCTTTTGTTTTTCAGTTGTGACACATTTGTAGCATAGACTGTCAAAACTGATCAAARTCAGTGGTAGCCTCAGCTAACCAAAACATTGACTAAACAAGTAAAAATGAGCAAATTCATCTCCAAGCTGAAGGAACTGACACAAAGCTGCTGACGTTAGCTTGTTAGCCAACTTAAAGTTGCCAAAACCTAAGTGGGATTGAACTGGTTCACTAAAGGATTTTAAAGGCAATGAAGAAGCTAATCTGCTAAACATGTGAAGAATAAGAGAAAGCTGTTTGTTCCGCTAATGTTTTTCAAAGTTAGTGAAAAGGCTAATTTCACTATAACCTGCTGATGTAAAGCTGATTAGCCGAACCATGTCCATCAGTGTGAACAGTTAAATGGTGCAACCTGGTTTTTCTCACAAAAACTGAACTTGCTAATTTRTCAAACAAGACTTGTGGCTTATTTTAGTCTTTAGTCTAGAATGTGTTGCATGATTTTGTGTGATAATGTTGATTTTGATGTGTTGGCTGTGGGATTAGATTTGTGATCTTTATCTTATTTCCTGAAATGGGTTCTACTCATCCCTCTCTCTGTYTGCACAGAACCATTGTCTACCTGTCCATTGTTTACGCCGTGGGACAGGTGGTCATGGCGGTGGGTGCGATCCATGACATCACGGACCTAGACAAGGACGGCACACCTGACAACATGGCCTTCCACATGTGAGCCAGACGCACACAGAGCTGTATGACTGGGACAAACTAACAGATTGGYATTAATGTTTCACCTGCTCTGTTTGAACTCAGAGCTCTGTCTGTGGTGGGCTTGATCCTCATCGCTCTGGGAACCGGAGGCATCAAACCCTGCGTGGCTGCCTTTGGAGGGGATCAGTTTGAAGACGATCAGGTCAGATGTGGCTCCAGCACGCCCACGAGAAAATAACGTAAATGAGGAATGATCTCAGGGAGATCAGACATTTTTAGTTAGCATGCTTCCAGTGAAATAACTCCAGGTCTTTGCTTCCATGGTCCACAGCAAATCATATAAATTATTTGTTCTGGSTGAAAATCTTTTTTACATTGTCTAATGTAATAGACAGGATATCCCTCCTAACACCTTATCTGGCCTGTTCAGTGTGTGGCTGACTTCACTCACTTTTTTCTTCTGCTAAAAAGAACTTAATAGCGTTCACATGTAGGCAGTGGTGTGCACAGCTAACTGAAAAGTTAGCTTCATAATCCACTAACTGAAAATAGCTTTGATAACARTAAACCATGAAACCAGAGCCAGCTCTTGGCATAGGTGAACTAGGCGGTAGCCTAGAGCACCATCTGCTGGAGGGAGCACCAAACTGCAGAAGAAAAAAAATAATTATTTGTAATCCCTGGTTGTAACTCTGCTCAGCGCCCTTTTCAATTAGCATTGCCTTAAAAAAACTATAATGAAGTATTACAGGAGAAATAAACTACTCTACCCATAAAACATTTTCTCTCCCCCCCAATGAAGCATCCGCCCCCACCCTCTCTCTCATTTGATTGACGTTGCACTGACTCGTCCTGCTCCAGGGAGGGGGGCTGTTTAATGTTATTTATTGTTTTATTTTTAAATCATCCTACAGGTTCTGACATGTTAGATAATTTTGAAAGTGAGGTTTTAAAAAAATCCGTAAGACCTGAAAAAATCTGTGAGATTGCTCTATATGTCCGTATGCCTGCAAAATGATGTAAATCCTTATAGCTTATGGACAATCCTTACAAGTTGACATGTATATTGTTATTTATTTACTTTCTGGGAAAGCAAATAAATATAAGTTTACCATAGCACCTCACACTGTCAAACTTGTTTTTAGGGGTTTGAATTGGGGTGGGTGGGATAGAGTTCGGGGGGGGTTGCGCTTCAACTCACCTAGGGCACCAAAATGGCTAGAGCCAGCACTGCATGAAACATACAAGGAATTAGCAGAAACTAACACTAAACATCTGTTAAACAGCTGGCAGTGTCCTTAAAACARATACTAAAGCAGAGCTATTTGAGTTGTTTTATTTAGCTTTAGTCAGTGTGCATTGCCATTGTAATGCACACTATTGTGATTCGTTTCCCATCCAAGTTATGTCCACTTTGGCATGCTTCTCCTCCTGCATACTTTGTCCTAGAGCTGCCATTGTAATTTATWTCTGTAAAGCTCCAGTGCCAAATGATAGCTATGCCTTTTGGTGCCTGTACAACTTGTAGTTTTTGAAATATTARTGTTCAATAATTTATAATGGGAGTCAATGGAGCCTTGTATTGGTCCAATACTGCCCCTGCTGTATCTACTCAGTACTGAACCATAGTTCAATAATCTTTAATCTCAATATTTCAGTGGTTACAATAYTAATATGATTGTATTTTGATGTTTTACTATAATGTTGTCCTAATATTGCTCTATTGTTGTAATATAYTGCAGTTTAGTGTCAACAACTGCATTGGCGATGTGGCCTCTTTCTGCACACATACAAGCCTACCCCTGGCAGTGTCCTCTGCCACAGCTCAAATGCTCTAATGGTTAACTCTATGGACTTTCATGTGGGAGAGCAGGGTTCAAAACCCAGCTACAGCAACTTTAACAAAAAATCTCTACAAACATCATCTTGTCACACAATTATCTTAATTACAAACACCTGCTGACTTGACAGGCACAAGCTGGTATAGAAAACACATTTGAACTTGATCCCATTTCATTCTGCAAGTCCAATGCTGCAGGCAAAGCCATGCTGCAATGACATGCTACAAGGCAATGCGCACTTGTTTTTACATCGTAGAATCCCATTTCATTCGGCAAGTCCAATGCTGCAGGCAAAGCCATGCTGCAATGACATGCTACAAGGCAATGCGCACTTGTTTTTACATCGTAGAAACCCATGTCTAGTTGCATTTGTGTTTCAGTTCGTCTTGATTTTGCTGTTGAGCAGTTTTTGTAAAGATGGTTTTAACTTGACAATGTTCCGAATATAAACAGACCAAAGAGAAGCAACAGAAAATAAACTGTTGTAACGTCCTACAGGCTCTGAAATGTAAGCTAAAATTGAAACTGAGATTTTGAAAAAATCTGTAAACCTAAAAAAAATCCATGAGGTTACTTTGTACGTCTGCGAAAAGGTGAAAAATCCATGTAAATTACAGACAACTTGACATGTACGTAGTGTCTCTTCTCTGCTCTGACTGCAGATGGTTTTGCTTGATAAGAATAAAGAACTCAGAGCAGCACTTGCTGCTCCCCGARGACACAATTAGTTCCCATCATGTGCAGCTTGTAAGTGTCTCCAAACACCAGGAAAAAGTATCCAGATTTGTTGATTGTTTTATAAAATTCATTTTAAAATGGTGCTGCAGGGGTCTGAAAATCTAGCGAGAAAGTTGGCAATCTGATGGTGCGTTCATGGACCCAAATTTTTTGTTGGGATTTCTCAGTACTAACAGTTAAAAGACTGGAGAAAAAAATGGGATTTTTAGGATTTATTCAACCAGTTTTCGATTTCAGGCTGACTGTTCTGTGCTTTAGTGTAAACTCTGATTAACGTCATACATTTACAGTGCTGCAATCTGAAACTGAATCTATTCCTGTGAAAAAACAGAACAGGATGTGTTTTTACCAGGTGTGTCTGTTTTTCTGACGTTCGTAATCACGTCTGATGATGCAGATAAACGTGGGCGTCTGTCCTGACYTTCTATTCAGAGACATTAATCAGTTCATCTGTCAGCACTTTTTCTATCTGTACCTTTGTTGTTTATTAACTATCACCTGCRTATACAGAAGACTTTATCACAATGTTCCAGGTGAAGGACAAAGATTACATCCGTAATATTAACAACACAGATTAGGCTCCACGCTRTAAAAACTAAAATCTGCATAAATTCAAACATGAGGAATGCATTTTCATGAGGAGTTTTGTTAATGGGATGGTGAATCCTATGATGATCCCTAAGACCTGGTACTTTTGGGTCATTCRTTCGTATTTTAAACCATTTTAAACGGGATGGTTATTTTATTTTAATTTCACATCCATATCCATATAATGTGCACATTTATATACCTCTTTTTATTGCTTTGAAATTAAAGCATAAATTCACAAAGAATGAGAAATAGAAAAATGGTCCTTTTTCATATTTTATTGTTCATTTAAACAATATCAGTCTGATATAATCTGTGTCCTCTTGTCTCCAGCTAAAGAGGATTTATTTCAAACATGTAGGGTTAGAGAACATCAAGTACCATTTAGGCCCGACCTGCCTAYTTTAACCCTTTCTGTTATTCTGGGGGAGAGGGAACACAGACTATCCCATGTAGCTCATCATCAAAGTGCAGGAATCTTTGAACACTTGATTGATTCTGACGAGTTGTAGTGTCTTACAGTGGGGGGAGGGGGGGGTTGTCTCAGGAATGCACAGATGTGGGGCCCATGAGCCATCCAGCTTCAGATTTCGGCACATATCACCATATTAGGACAGAAGAACGCTTGAGGTATACCGTGACAAGATTTATGTACATCTGTGGAAAATGTATAAAGAGCCCTGTACGCCCCCGCCCATGGTCTTCGTTTCTCCATCTTTCTTACTTGGTGAATCCTTTGGCTTGAAGGCCACAATTTGGTTTTAGGCTGTACTTCTTGAGCTGCAAAATAAAGGTGCTTGCTGTTCAAACCAGCCTCGTTTCCAGAGTCATCTTTCTTCGAGCAAACCAGCAGTTCCACTTCAACCAGAAGACGTGATTTTCTACACCTCAGAGTCGGAATAAAAGATCAGTCGTATGGTTTCACTTTTAATTGACGGGGCCACAGATTGGATCACTTGAGTTGTCGTCTGTGTCCAGTCTACTTTCCTGATTGAAAAAAAGATCTCGTTCTCAATGAAGTGACATTTCTAAGCAACAAAAACATTTAAAAATGTGTACAGTGTGTATAAGAACTAAAATGATCATGTTTTGGTCACATCTTCTGTGTGTGCACAGACTCCCCAGTTCTCGACACTGAGCTTGTTCTGGCGTTGGACCACTGCAGGTGTTTTTWGTAACATGTTGAACTCATTGTACCCAACAGGAAAAACAAAGAAGCACCTTTTTCTCCATCTTCTACCTGTCCATCAACGCAGGAAGTCTGCTGTCCACTGTCATCACGCCCATCCTCAGAGGTAAGACCACATCAGTACACAACCCTAACCTGGCACTTTGTCGTATCAAGTGACTCACTGTGTGTTCTGTGGTTCTCAGCTCAGAAATGTGGGATCCACACCCAGCAGCAGTGCTACCCTCTGGCCTTTGGAGTCCCTGCTGCTCTCATGGTGGTCGCTCTGAGTGAGGACTCTAACGCACCTCGAAGTGATGAGCTCACTGAACGCCACATGGTTGTAATCAATGCCCTTTGTGTGTGTGTCTGCAGTTGTGTTTATTGTCGGGAGCGGGATGTACAACAAGGTTCCTCCTGCAGGAAACATCCTGGTGAAAGTCTGCAAATGCATCTCGGTAAGCAGCTTCTCTACAAAACACAACACATTTGAAACATTTCCTCGTACTGACGGGCTCTTTGTTCTGTGCAGTTTGCCATCAAGAACCGCTTCAGGCATCGTTCTCCTGAGTACCCAAAGAGAGACCACTGGATGGACTGGGCTGAGGAGAAATATGACGTATGTGCAGGAAGCTGAGCACAGGCTAACAGAAACTTAACAGCGAATAAATCCATGTGTTTGTCTCTGTGTTGGTGCAGAAACTCCTGATCGCTCAGGTGAAGATGGTTCTGAAGGTCCTGTTCCTCTACATCCCACTGCCCATGTTCTGGGCTCTGTTTGACCAGCAGGTTGGTGATGATGCCTCTCTGAGATAGGACCTTTTTTTAAACTCTTGAGCCAATAATGACCCTTGACAACTACGTGACCTAATCACAGAGACACCATGACAGGTGGAGGAGAGGGAGAGGAGTGCTGAACTGACTATGGTTCTTTTCTCAAGTGGTTTTTCCCAGTATAACCATGACTTCTACTTGTTCAAGTCGAGTTTTGTTTGTATTACACAGGGTTAAATGTTGACAGATCTTTTTCTACCACAATAAGTTTTAATATTTTCTTCTAACTGAAATATTGTGTTATTGGGGTAAATAATCATAATCAAGATTTGAATTTTTTATGCTTTTTAAGCTAAAATAACAGGGATAACATTAAACCTGCATAAATCCGGTAATTAAAATAATAGATTTACTTACTCTGTCTTACTTACACAATGTCTTTGGGCTTGGGGTTGGGCCGGGGCTGATATAAACTGTGCAGTATTGAGGGTGTTGCTCTGGTAAAGTAGGAGCCGAGTAAAAATCATTGGGCCTCATGCAAGAACCGTTTGTACGCACAGATTTGTTCTTAAGTTGTGCGTACGAGTGATTTAGG